TCCCTTCCTGGCTGAGCCCTCAGGAGAGTGACTCTGCCTCTCTGGTCTTTGTTTCTTCCCGGGAGAAGTGGGCATGACACGAGCTCTCCACGTGTCGCCAGGATTTGGAGCCGTCTCCGGGGCCAGAGTTTGGCCATTAGCAAAGTGGACGGTTGCTCAGGCGCCTCTTCATTTTGCAATCCTCTGACTCTCCTGCCGGCCAGCTCCTTCCCGCCAACACCCACTCCCATCCGCCTGAAAATACCTGCTTGGACAACGTGCACTTGGCCAAGCAATTTCCCAAGAAGGGCTGTGACGGCCTGGGATCACCGCCCGCCTGAGGCCTCGCAGGGCCTGGCCCAGCTCCACGGAATAGCCTGGAAGCTCGCTGGCCCTGCGCCCCTCCCTGCCGGCGGTATCCAGATGAGCGAAAACTGGGAATACTGAAGCCCCTGAGCCCTCAGCACACACGTGATGCACCTGTTCTGGGAAATAGAGGTTTCTAGAAAGTGGAGGCTCTTCTATCAGTCAAGGGCTCGGATCACCTCTCTGAGTTTCATTCAGGTTTCAGCTCTTGCTTCACTCAGATCCACCCGCTTTTGTAAGCGGGAGCATCCCTGCCAGCTGAGTCAGCAGGCGCTGCAGCCAGAAAACGGTAGCAGCTCCACGGCCCAGACCCTTCTGGGGAAGGCCTGTGTCTTTCTGACCTGCTGTGTGAATGGGAGTCCCATCCCCGGGACATTGTGTTCTCCTCCTTCCCATTCTACAGATGAACACCCCAAGGCTGGGGAAAGGGGAGCACAGAGTGGCTCTGTCCTGGGGGTCTGACTGTAAAGCCCTCGCTGTGATTACTGCTATTCTTTCTTTTTTAAATTTTATTTTAAAATATTTTATTTATTTATTTGATGGAGAGAGAGCACAAGCGAGGGGGAACAGCAGGCAGAGGGAGAGGGACAAAGAGAAGCAGCCTCTCTGTGGAGCAGGGAGCACGATGTGGGACTCAATCCTAGGATCCTGGGATTGTTACCTGAGCTGAAGGCAGACGGTCAGCCGACTGAGCCACCCAGGCACCCATATTTTTTTTTTTAAAGATTGATTTATTTTGAGAGAGAGAGAGAGAGAGAGAGAGAGAGAGAGAGAGAGAGAATGTGCGTATTGGGGATGGGGGGCAGGGGCAGAGAGAGTCCCAAGCAGATTCCGCACTGAGTGCGGACTGGGATGTGGGCCTGGATCTCATGACCCTGAGATCATGACCTGAGCTGAAACCAAGAGTTGTTGCTTAACTGCCTGCACCACCGAGGTGCCCCTGTTTATTTTTAATCCTTAAAAATCTCATGCGTGTTAGACTGGAAGCTTGTGAGCCTGAATTTGAAAGTGTCTCTTACTATAGGAGAGTGGTTTTCAACTGGAGGTGATTATGTCCCTTCTTGGGAAACTTTGGCAGTGTCCGGAGCCTTTTTTGGTTTCTCACACTTGGGGAAGGGGCGGTTTCTGGAGTCTGGTAGAGAGGTGGGGAGGGTGCTGAATGCCCTGCAGCGCAAAAGACTCCCCACCCCGCCACAAAGGATTATCTGGATCAAATCAGCAGCATTGTGGAGGCTGAGAAGCCCTGATACATAGGAAACCAGAGATGTCCTTTTTTTTTTTTTTTTGCAACCAGACTATGAGGTCTCCAGAGGGTCTCAAAAGTAGCACATAACACACAGACACACACACCATTTTTTTAAAATTTATTTATTCATGAGAGACACGGGGGGGGGGGGGAGAGACACAGGCAAAGGGAGAAGCAGGATCCATGCAGGGGGCCTGACGTGGGACTCGATCCCCAGTCTCCAGGATCACACCCTGGGCTGAAGGCGGTGCTAAACCGCTGAGCCACCTGGGCTGCCCACACCATTTTTATTGTAAAATAAAGATTGCTATTTTAGAGGTTAAAGGTCAACCTTCAACCTGTTGGTGACAATGGGATACCTGGGTGTCCACCTGCAGCTCAAACTGTGTGCCTACCCTGTGCTCAGCATCTGCCTCCCCACCCAGCTCCTCCACTGCAGGTGTGAAACCTGGCCTCGGTCAGTGCTCCACGGTCTCCTGCCTTCCGCCCCCGAGCTGACCTCTTGGTTCATGCCCACGACCACTTTTTCATCCGTGCATTCCTTCTACAACCATGGCGTCTGTGCTCCTTTCTTCTCTTGCCTGGAATCCTGCACCCTCCTGCTCCTCTCAACAGGTCCCTCCTGAATCAAATCTTTTGCTCACACCACTGTGAACTGTATCTTTGTTTTTTTTTTTTATAAATTTATTTTTTATTGGTGTTCAATTTGCCAACATACAGAATAACACCCAGTGCTCATCCCGTCAAGTGCCCCCCCTCAGTGCCCGCCACCCAGTCACCCCCACCCCCCGCCCTCCTCCCCTTCCACCACTCCTCCCCTTCCACCACCCCTGAACTGTATCTTTGTAAAGCCCATTTTCATTAGTACACTTTCTTGGTCAAAATCTTCATGGCTCCCTTGGCTAACAGTGTGATGCCAGCTTTTTACCTTGGGATTCACATCTTTGCATGATTGGGCTGTCCACTTCCTATCGAAGGGTAACTGTCTCCCACATTAGCTGCTCTCCTTGACCTTGAGGGCAAGCACACAGTGGCCTCAGCCATTCATGTTCCCCTTGGTGGAGAGAATAGTGGACCCAGCCTGACCCCCCAATATCTTCCCTCCGTTTGTCCTTTCTGCTGCCCCTCATCCTGGAAGACCCCTACTCTTACAGCTATACCTACAAGTCCCACCTGAAGCAAACTGTGCTCAAATGCTATCCACCCCCCAAAAAAGGAGTAGAGGTCATTTCCTCTGATCGCCACCATGCTTTGTCTACACTTCTCTGCCATGTGCTCATCCTTGGCTGTGAATTATAGTTATTTATGATAAAACAATAACGGTAGTAGTTTCTGTGTATTTAGAGGCCAGGCATGCCCTTTGAATCTGTGCAACTACCTGGTTCATATAGGCATCAGGGTCTCCATTTTATAAAGAAGGAAATGAAGATTCAGAGACCTTCACAGACTTGCTCAAGGGTGAGAGCCAGAGGTGGTGTCCTGTGGTTGTGAGAGTGCCACATGGGGATCTGTGTGCTTGATGCAGGGTACACATCCATCAGAGGACTGTGCTTTGGGCATAGGATATACAGCTGTCTGTCCATCCATCCATCCATCCGTCCGTCCGTCCATCCATCCATCCATCCATCCATCCATCTGTCCATCCATCCATCCATCCATCCATTCATCCATCTGTTCATCCATCCATTCTTCCATCTTCCTTTCTATCTGTCCATCCATCTGTCCGTCCATCCATCTATCCATCCATCCATCCATCCGTCCGTCCATCCATCCACCCATAGATTCACTTACTTATGAGGACATGCACAAATTAGAGAACTGATTGAGTGGATTTACCGAAGACATACTGAATATTTTTCAAGCATATCATTGGTGCTCATAAAAGATCTCCTGCTATCTTTTTTTGAGAGAAGGAAGTGAATACACTTATGTCTCTGGGCTATTAAATCAGGAAATAAGTAACTTAAAAACAACTTTTGAATTTTAGAAGCATAATGTATAAAAGTGGAAGGGATCACTCTTACCCAGGGTTCTCAATCAGAGGAGAGAGCCATGGGCTCAGCGCAGATAAGGGGTTTGCCCTGCTTACTCATCTGCCTTCAGACTCACAGCATGGTGTTTGCTTTCACAGAAGAGCTACTCTTCATTGCATCTGTGAGACTGATGTACTAATCCAGGCTTTGGGAACGTGTGTGACTAGCAAGCCATGGGTTTGGAGATAGAGACGGAAAGAGAACATCAGAATGGCCACAGTGTGCTCTCAGCTCCTGTAGCCAGAGGGAGGAGTCCTGGTGCCGTTTCACGGGTGGAAATGTGAAGCTCCCAGAGGAGAAGTGATCTGCCCAGCATATAGCCCTACGGTCCTAGCTTGGAACTGGATGTGGTGGTGCTGCTGCCCAGCAGTGAGGCATCCCTATATGTCAGAGCCCAGGTTTGAGCACTGCTCCCCTCTCTGTGTGGACTGGGAGGATCAGATGAATTATTCCCATAGGGGCTGAGCACGGTACCAGCACAAGTACGTGCTTATAGTTGGTCGGTGGTAGTATTACTGTTATTATTAGGGCATCCTTTGGGTCCAGATCCCAAGCTGCCCTCACTCCTTGGGTGACCTTGGGAAATCCCTTAAGGTCTCCCATCCTTGGTTTCCTTATATGTAAATGGGGCTCCTCCCCAAACTTGGCCAGCACAGATGTTATTTTTATTCTTATTTATCTGTAGAGGTTGTTAAATTAAAAGACCAGGGAATGGGGTTTCAATGTTGGAGAAAGTCAGGGGCAGGGACCTGGGGTAGCTGGGAGTCAGCCACTAGGAATTCTGGCTGTTGGCAATTTCCCCTGGGCTCTCAGGAAATGTTGAGCAGACCTCAGAAAGGTCCTGCTTGCCTCATCTGGCTGGGCATTGCAACATCACCACGGTGTGAAGAATGGAGCTGTCCTGGGAGAGCCACCTGAGTCATGGGAACCAAGGAAACCTCTCCTGGGAGTGTCCTGCAGTTGGGCAGGGCCTGGCGAGGAAGACCTTGTTCTGCAAGTGGCCACCTGGCCTCCCTTGAGACATACCTGGAGATCTCCGTGTGCCCAGGAGAAGCTGAAGGGGCTGCCTGTGCCTCCCATGAGAAGAGAAGGCACACCTGGGACTTCTGTGGCCTCCTGAGCTCCCTGCGAGGCATGGACCTGGCTTTCTTCCTTGCTCTGCCATCAACTTCCTGGTGAACTTGGGCACATCTAGGTTTCAGGGCTCCCATCTATAAAAGGAAGTGACTGGTCTTGGTTGCTACCACCAAGTCGAGTTGCAATTTCTTAAGCTGGGTTCCCAGATCCTTATTCAGCCCAGATCCCAGTGCAGTGAACAAATGAGTGAATAAATGGCAGATCAAGACACATCTCCACCTTTTTCCAATCCACAGAATGTGTTGTTCTGGAATCAGCTCAGAGCAGAATCATCAGCAAATACAAGGTGGCTGCATACCCCCTGAGCAGAGGTTCTCCTAGAGAGAGGCTCCTGCAGGTGGGTTGGAAAAAATCAATTAAGGGTTTGTGTATTTAGCATTTTGCACTCAACATACTTGAGGGTGAAGGGTAATCCTTTGAAATCAGACACATCTTGTTGGTTAATGTTGCTGTAAGTTTTTTTTGAAGGTAGCGCCTGGACATGGCAGCCAGAGCTCATGTGAAAGGCAAATTACAAATACATGAGGTTATGCCTAATTACCTGAAATACCCTCCTCTGTTGAGTGAAAAACACAGTTTTCATCAGCCCTGGATTAATTATGGCTGCCGAGAGCTGTAATTGGCAAAAGCGTGTTTTTAGCTCATGACTCAAGGCTGACTCAACATTGGGGACCGTGCTTTCCATGGCCTCAAGCTGGGCTCCCTTTTTTCCTGGAAACGCCTAAGTGGTTTGCCAAGCCCTTTGACGGGGCCCATTGAGCTTCCTTGGGAAGTTCAGCAACAGGATTTGAGTCTGTAGTTCCTAAGATGGGGGTTGGGGGTGGGAGGCGACCCTGGTGGGCACTCCTGAGCTTGCCTCATGTCAAACTGACAACACCTTCTCGAAGGTGAGCAACCTGAGGCTTTAGCTTCTAAGCTGTGCAACTTGGAATTGAACTTTTTGTTGTAATTCTTTCCCATTGCCCTTTAGGGCCTCCCTCAGTCACCTGCAGGGCTCAGAGTGACTGTCCCAGCAGCTACCTGGTCTTGTGAAGGTGGATCTTGCTGTGTGTAAACTGTGGCCATGCTGCTCAGGACTGAACTTGTTTCTGGTTCCCTCTGGAAGGCTCTGAGGACAGGCCGAATTGCAAAATACGAAGATTTTCCAGGTGGGTAGAGAGGACTTGGCCATAAATCCTGGCCTCATTTCTGGATTGATTGATTAATCCTCTGTCTGCGTGTGTGAGACCATCTTCCCCTCTCATGTGTCTCCTCACAAGTGATGGGCTCTGTCCCTGAGTCATCTCCCAGGCCTGGCCTCAGGGTGGCCACTCTGAAGGTCAGTGGGGACCGTGAACTCGGTGCCTCCAGGTGGGACTTGAGATGTCTGCAAGGCTCCCAGAACCGCCCCTCAGAAAATGCCTATTTCCTTCCCGGCTGCTCTGATTCTCCGCAACTGACAGACTGAGCTCTTGTTTCCTGTCCTCTTCATCTCCGTGTCCCCAGAGGAAGGACTTGGTAGGCTCGTTTGGCAGATGGAGAAAACCAGGTTCAAGCCAGGGCGAGAGACCAGTTTTGGTTTCCTGGGTCCAGACCTGCATTGGTCTTTCTGCAAAGAAGGAGATGGGAGTCCTGGTGAAGTGGCTCCTCTTTTTCACTGGCCAACACGCTTCCACAGACCACAGAGGCATGTGGGGAGGCCCTCAGGGGGATGACTGTGGGTAAAGGGGCAAGCTCTACACTTACACTCGTGTCCACGAGCTCAATATTTCCCCCCTTAGGCCTCCCGAGGGGCAGAATTTTATTATTCCATCTTTTCTGATGGGTAAACCGAGGCACAGACAGAAGCTAGGCATCTTGTCCACAGCAACCCAGCCCGAATGTTCAAGATGTCCTTGGGCTTAAAGTGGCCCAGTGAGGATGGCACGGGTCTGCTGGGCCACAGGAGCAGACTCTTTCCTGCACCTCTGGGGCCAAGGTTCACCCCACAGGTGGGCAGGGGCCAGTCGGGGCACCAGTGACTGTGTGACAGTGCCTTTCAGTGTGTGCCTTGAAGGACATGTGTAGGGAAGTACTGCATTGGGCATTGCAGATGCCCCATCCTTTTGGAGATTTATGAGATGAGCTAGCATTTTAAAGGCATGGGGAAGGTCTGCAGGGTAACAGTGCATGGAGCTTTGTCTGACCCTCCAGTTCCCCAACTTGTCTGACCACACAAAGCTCTGACTTTCTTTGCTTTTCCCTCTCCTCCCCTCCCTTCCCCCTCCTTCCCCTCCAATCCTCCTCTCTTCCCTCCTCTCCCCACCATCCTCCCTTCCCTCTTCTCCCTACCTTTCCTCTCTCCTCTATTTCCTTTGATCTTTCCTTTCTCCATCTCTCCATCTCTCTGTCTCCCCTTCCCTCTTTCTCTTCCAAATCACCAGAGCGTGGACTCTGGGAAACAGAGCTCAAGACGCTGAGAAGGGAATATCAGCTGAACAGTACTTGTTTCGACTTCTGCCTTGGGCCTGGGGCTGGGGTAGCCTCTGTCCCTTGTGACCCCTCCACACAGGGGTACTCACTCACTGTCCTCATTTCTCCCAGGGAGCACCCAGAGGCCCGGCACCCCTGGGAAACAGTGGTGCACACATGCTTCTGACTGCTGCTGGTCTGTGTGTGTGCCTGGTGCTAGGTGCCCCCCTGCCTCCTCCATGGCACCAGGGACACTCCAGACATGTGAGCTTGGACATCGGGTTTGCTTGCATTGCTTTTTCTATTTCTGGCTGACCACCTGGGCAGCCCGGTTGGCCCTTGCCGGCTTGGCTCACGCAGATGTTGAGACCTGCCCTGTTGCGTGAGGACAAGGCGATAGGAGGAGGCGATTGTTCATCTCTATACAAATTAGCCGGCCAGTCGGCACTTGCGCTCACCTTTGCCACAGCAACAGGAAAGACGAGATCCATGCTAATTGCCTTCACTTCTCTTTCTCTGGTCAGAGCTGTTCCCGGCAGTTGGGGTGACATACAGCTCCCAACACAATGCCCATTGCAACACTTTCAAAACAATTTTTAAAGTTTTTGAATGTGGGGAGATTTTTGGCTCCCGTGAGATCCTTATGGCTGGCTCTGATGCTAGGGGACAAGAAATGGGGTTGCTCATCCTTTCCTCTGGCTGTAAGACCTGTTGTTTTATTTATTTATTTATTTTTAAATTTTTTATTTATTTATGATAGTCACAGAGAGAGAGAGAGAGAGAGAGAGAGGCAGAGACACAGGCAGAGGGAGAAGCAGGCTCCATATACTGGGAGCCCGATGTGGGATTCAATCCCGGGTCTCCAGGATCGCGCCCTGGGCCAAAGGCAGGCGCTAAACCACTGCGCCACCCAGGGATCCCAGACCTGTTGTTTTAACATAAAATTTCTTCTAGGATCTCAAAACATTTTTTAACCGGATAGCGATGATTCATTTCTGGACAGGGCAGCAGAACTAAAAGATTAAGATTTGCAGTTCCTCCTGGCCAGACTCCCCTTTTATCTACCCATCTCCTTCCCTTTCTTGCTTACCTACCCCGCCTACCTTCCTCTGGCCGCCTTTCCAAGCCCCAATTAGCAGATGGGAGGGGCTGCTTGGTCAAGGACGCTGTTGTGGGTGGTCCAGGTTGTTGAGAACTTGCTCTCTCTGCATCTCCAGCTCTGGGGAGATGGGCTGCTGACATACATGGGAAAATCTTCTTAGGAGATTTCAAAGCATTGGAGACTCAACTGTTGATGGGAACTAAAAAGAAAAAAAGAGGTGAAATATCCCAAAGGCAGCATTTGGACAGGATCATCCGACCTCACCCGCTCTTAGCATTCAGATTCCATGATCTCAGGCTTCCTCGAACCATTGGAATTGCTGCTGATGGGGAGGAGGAACAACAGTGGGAAGGAGAAAATAATGTTGGTTGAGAGCTTCCTCTCTGTGATATGTGCTTGTCTTGTGCCCACAGATTTCATCACTCTGGCCGGATGATGATGACGATGATGATGATGGTGATGCTAGCAAACCTACCTGGGGGGGCTCTCCGTGCTATGTATGTACTAACTAATTTAATGTTTGTAGCAGTCATTCAGTAGGGACTCTTGGTGTCCAGTTTTACAGTAGAGGGTTTTGAAGCACGTAGACGTTCAGTCACCTAATCAAGCTCACACAGCTCAGAAGAAAGCCAGGAACCAAACCCAAAGAGTCAGACTCCAGGGTCTGTGCTACTATCCAGTTTTTTTCAGACTGTAAATTAATTACTTAATAGGCGCAGGCTCTCCCAGACTTTTGTAGCTGCTGGGGACAGGGAGATGTTGACTAGAGGGCACGTGAATGCAGCATCTAGACTTGTACTCTAACTGAACACAGCTCTCCCTAGCATGCACCCGTGGGCAAGATCATGAGCTGGGGTCCGTCTGTGTCAGGCTAGGGGTGGTAGGGGGTGCATATGTCATCGTGGCACATAAGCAGACCTCCGCCCTGGGGAAATGACAGGATGGGGCACGTGGGATGAGGTCAAGAAAAATAAGCCCAGAGTGGATGGGGACAGACCATTATCGGTGCTTGTTCCTGTTGTTACGACTTCGTGAGGTGCTCTCGTTGTAGATGCCAGCATCAGGGGTATGTAGTTATGTTCATTACACAATAAATTATTGTCCTTGTATCACAGGTGGCCTTTGGTCTTCATCAGTTTGCCCTGTGGTGGCCTGGCTGTGGAATCCCTGCTCATGTTGTCCAAGCCAGCGAGCCAGAGAGCAGATGGGTGGGTATGTGGAATAGGGGTGCCATGACTACTGGGGGCAGGATTCTGGTCCTGAGTGTGGGCAGAAATGAATGGAATTCTGTTTGGCCAGGTGCACTACTGGCCAGGTGTATTTCCTGATGTATGTTTACATGCATTTTGCTTTGTTTCATCTTATTTAATTTTATTTCCCTTTGTTTGAATAGTTCCTCCTTCCCATGGTCCTGTGGAGCAAATACTGATTTCCACTAGCCCAGGGATGAAGTAGAGCCCATCACAGACCACACATATGAAACCAGAATCCATCCTTCCTTCTTCCTTTCTTCTTCCTTCTTCTTCTTTCTTCTTCTTCTTCTTCTTCTTCTTCTTCTTCTTCTTCTTCTTCTTCTTCTTTCTTTCTTTCTTTCTTTCTTTCTCTCTCTCTTTTCTTTCTTTCTTTCTCTCTCTCTTTTCTTTCTTTCTTTCTTTCTTTCTTTCTTTCTTTCTTTCTTTCTTTCTCTTTCTTTCTTCTTTCTTCTTCCTTTTAAGATTTTATTTATTTATTCATGAGAGACACAGTGAGAGAGGCAGAGACACAGGCAAAAGGAGAAGCAGGCTCCCTGCAGGGAGCCCAATGTGGGACTTGATCCCAGGACCCCAGGATCATGCCCTGAGCCAAAGGCAGATGCTTAACCCACTAAGTCACCCAGGTGCTCCCAGAATCCACTTTTCCCTCTCCGTTTGCCAGTGGTTTCCCACTCCCTGGTCCTGTCTCCTCAAGCGAGTGGCTCCTCCTCTCACTTTTCCCCACCTTTCTCCTTTGAGCTTTCAGAGGAACTGGGTAGGAGTAGAGACAGGGCTCCTTGCACTGCAAATACCTTTTGCTCCACAATCACAACTGCACTTGTGCCAAGTTCTGAGTCTGCTTGGCTTTTGAGGGTACTGAGCTTGGAGCTGAAGTCGGCTGCCCCTTTGGAATCAGAATTTGGTTTCCTCTTGGAAAAAGTCTACTTCCTGATTGCTCAAGAAAGAGAAGAACATTTTTAAAAGGCTCTGCTGTTCCTGTTAGCCTCCATCGGCCTATAACATTTTCATGATTTAAGGGTCGATGGATTAAAAACATGTGGTCTGGGTTTCCCCTGAATGCAAGCACACATTGAACTTAAAGGAAAGGAAAGGAAAGGAAAGGAAAGAAAGAAAGAAAGAAAGAAAGAAAGAAAAGAAAAGAAAAGAAAAGAAAAGAAAGAGAAAGAGAAAGGGAGAAAGAAAGAAGGAAAGAAAGAAAGAAAAGAAAGAAAGAAGAAAAAGAGAAAAGGAAAAGAATCAGAGAAGCAGTCTGGGTTTTCCTCAAGGCCTTGACTTTGAAAAATAAGCCTAAGGTATTTTCAGGCCCAAATGGGGCCTCCCAGGCTCTCCAAAAATGTCTCCAGTTGGCCTGGAGGCAACAAGGAATTGGGTGGGTCCCAGCTTGCCCCAGGACTGGACCCAGCATGACTTTGTGCAGCTCAGCACACCAGGGAGGCCAAAGGTTTGAGGACAGAAATAACGCTTTGACTTCCTCTCTTCCAGAAACCTCCTTCCAGCCTAATTTGGCCCAAAGTCTATCACTATCTGCCAGTCAACGTCTACAGAGCATTTATGGTGTGCCAATGTTCCTCATGGATTCCATGACAAGATCCTGGCATTTGTTCATCGTATTCCCACCCTATCCGACTGAGCATCTCACTGTTTCAGCCTTTGCACCTGTGCACGCTCTGACTCCTCTACATGGTGTGCTCTTTCTCAGTCTCTAGCTGTCCACTCTTATCCATTCACACCCACAATGTTCACTCCAGGGCTTTGCCCAGGAACTGTGCTCCGCCAACACCTGGGAGTGATGCTGAAGAACTCACAGAGAGACTGGCCTCCTCCAAATCCAGGACTCTGATGAAATCCACAGTTGCCCCCCTTTGGACTCCACATGTGGAGCTGAGCAGAAGGATGTTGGCATTTGCTCTCCTACTGCTCGGCTCCACCCCTCATTTTGGGAGGGTTTTGCTCTGGCCCCCTCTCTCTAGTGCCTTGTTTACTGCAGGCAATGATTTTAGCTTAATGGAATAGGGAAGGAATTCCCCTTTCATGTGGTCGGGAAGCGGAGGCCCACACAGATATCCATGCAGTTTTATGGCCAAGCTGGGGAGTTGGTAAATTTGTTGAGGAGTGCCCTGATCCCAACAGCTCGCTGGGAACAAGGCCTATAAATAGCTCCTGCCAGTCAAAGCATAACGATTTCAATCTTCCTACTGTATAAATAAACAGTATTGTTCAGGAGTTCTTGGCTGCAGTTTCGGCCTGTACGTCTTGAAGGCTTGCAGATGATCCAGCTGGAATTTTCGGCGAAGGCAAAGGAACTGACATTTGAAGAGTGACTACCGTGTGCCTGGCCTCATGTGAGACATTTAAGTAGGGAATCCCATTCAGTCCTCATGTCAAACAAGAATCCACATCATCCCATTCAGCTTGCTAGGAGGTGGAAGCTCATGGACTGTTGGCAGGAGTGTGCCTGGGTCACAGGCCAGTGACAGGGAGATGAACTCATATCTGTCAGACTGCAGAACCCGGGCACCTTCACGTTCCCTCATTGTCTCAGTCATCCTACAACAACTCTACAAGATCAATATTTTTGTAAGACTTGTGTTTTCCTTGGTAATATAAATAACACATGTTCTTTTCTTTATAGGAAAGTTTGAAATGCAGAGAGAAAATTAAAATCACCTGTATCCTTACCACCCAGAAAAATACACATAAGTATGTTTTGTTTATGTTCTCCTGATGTTTAGACAGGTAAGTAGATAGATCTGAGAAGGAGAGATGACCTTATGCACATACTGATGGATACATACTTTTTTGAAACAAAATTGAAATAAGAGAGTAGATTCTATTTTATAAGATTGTTCCTGGGATCCCTGGGTGGCGCAGCGGTTTGGCGCCTGTCTTTGGCCCGGGGCGCGATCGTGGAGACCCGGGATCGAATCCCACATCGGGCTCCCGGTGTATGGAGCCTGCTTCTCCCTCTGCCTGTGTCTCTGCCTCTCTCTCTCTCTCTCTCTCTCTCTCTCTCTCTCCGTGACTATCATAAGTAAATTAAAAAAAAAAAAGATTGTTCCTGTAACATTTACAGCATAGTTACTATCCCCATTTTCCATGTGAGGCATCTGAGCTCAGAGAGGTGAAAGGACTCATCTGTGGTCACACCCATGGGCAGGACCCACCTCCCTCCCTGTCACCTCCTTTCTCCTCTCCCTGTCTGTCCCCAAAGTTCAGGTGCAGATCACATTCTGGGCAGACATCAAGGACTGCACTTGCATTTTTTCTGTGCTCTAGTCCTGACTCTGTGACTCGTCAACCCAGCTTTTGGTTTCTCTCATAAAAAAAAATGGGTACATTTTGATTCAAAGTTCTAGTGAATCTGAAAGTGTTGGGTGAAGGGTGCTCTCCAGGTCACCTTCACAACTTTGGGAATGTGGTAGAGCATGGTTGTGGGTTTTCAAACCTAGTTTGCCACTGATTTGCTGTGAAAGCTTGGGAAAGTCACTTAACCTGAATCTCAGTGTTCACATCTGCAACAGAAGGACAGTGATATCGACCTCGTGGACTTGTGAGGATAATAGTAATGACATTAGGAGATATTGTTGAGTACTTGCTGACTGTCATGGACTGTGCTGAGCTCTTTCCATGAGTTCATCTATTTCCTTCGCAGAACAACTTGGTGAGGTTTAAGAAGGATTATTATTCAAATTTTACAGATGTATCTGGGATAAAGTTAAGAAACTGAGGTTTGAGGTCATGCAACTGAGAAAATAATAAGATCGTGAAGACACCTTGCAACTAGAAACCCTTTTTTTTTCTACACAAGACTCAAACAAGGCTTTTAACAAAGCTGATGTAAGATATTTTTCTCTATTACTATCCCTTGAAATATATCCCACACAACAAAGGATGGAATGAAACTTTTCTTGGGCAAAGTTACAGTCCCAGACCATATAACATAATGCATATCTTCAAAAACCTGTAAAATACAGAATACCAGGAGGGTGTCCAGAGCTGGGACCCATCTCCTTGGACTTAGAAAACAGGACACATATTTCCCTGAGTAAGTGACCAAGGGGTAAAAGGCATATTCAATGACCCACCATTACAACAGCCACCTAGGGTGTGGGTAGGTGATGTCCCCATGCAGACTCAGCTGGACATTGTGTAGTGATGGGTGGTAGAGGTACAGGAGAAACCAACCCAACGTGACATTTTTAGTACCCTGGACCAAAGCTCCTAGTTCAGGAAAGTGCTCGGTATAAAACAATGTGGAGGAAAACAGAAAGGCAGGAAATGTAAAGTCAAATGCAGAGATCTCCCATGATAAAGGAAAGCTCTTCTTGAAAGCCAAACAGGGTAGGGACAACCTCAGGGTAAAGGAAATCACATGTAACAAAAGAGGAATTCTTCACAGCCATCTGTGTCCACATCTGTGATGTCCCAATTCATTACCTTCTCCCTTCTGCCCAGGTCAGCACATGTCTAGCTCCATTCAATCCAGAAAATTGCATAGAGGAACCAGCCTTTGACCTATTATATTATAAAAATAAAATAACCATAAGATGGAGGAATAGAAATTTCTCATCAAATGGCAGGTAAAAGGAATATATAGCATTAATTGTCCCAAGAAAGTAGTGGAAAAATGTAGACACATACTAATTAGTAGTAAAATTATTAATAAAAATAACAACTAATCAATAAACATAAATATTAGCAATGTCATAGAAAGTATGATTTTTTTGAGGTAGAGCACAAAGGAGAAATTATAAAACAATAAAAGAGGATGAAAAGTGAGTAGAACTCAAGGAAAAAAAGTAATATGCAGAAGAAAAGTGTAATACAAATTAAAGTCTTGTTAGAATCTTTAAAAATTAGAATCAATAACACAGAAAGCATCATCAGGGCATTAATTCTAACAGACCCTATTGGTGTTTTGAGCAGGCCATTTATCACGTGGCAAGACTGTATGTTGAAGGACATTTAGGATTTTTAACACTCATCCCCCAAATGCCAGTTATGCCTCCCTAATTATTGTGTCAACCCAAACACTCCCCATTTGCAAGGTGTAAGGATGTTAAATGATTATAAAAATGATATATCTTTGTAATAGGAGAAGAAGAAATATGTCACATAGAAATATGACAAATGCATAAACTTGTCTCTCATTAGGAAGAAGCCACAGAACAAGTGACACAGAAAAATGTTAAGAGATATAACTGAAGAAAACTATACTGAAATAAGTAATGGACTGCTCAGAAGGTACACCATGTTTCAGGAAAATGTGATACAGAATGAGCACCACCAATGTATACCTTTGTGAAAATACTGAATTTCATGATTAAGGAAAGAACTCTATTGGCTTCTAGGAGAAAATGCAAATTTTAAGGCATAAAGGAGAAAAACAGGCAGGGTTACCTTAGAATTTTCCACATAGTCAGTGCCAGAAGACGAATACCTACAAAGTGTTGAAGATAGGAATAAAAGGTGCACTCCACGGATTTTAAGCTGAGTTACATTGTCCTTCAGATGTAAAGGTTTTGGAAATATTGGCAAACACACACAAACTTGCAGACTGCAAGTCCTATAAGCTTTTTGGTGAAACTAAACAAAGTTCAGTTCCCCGGTAGGACCCTCTCTCCCCAATTAATTTTGTACTTTAAATTGAGACGACATAAAAACAAACTAAAATAAGTAACAGAGGGACTGAGTGTTATACTATATGTTGGCAAATCGAACTCCAATAAAAGGATATACAAAAGAAAAAAGGAAAGATGACGTCACGGTTACACGGGGAAAATCATTCAATACAAGACTGAGACTGATCAACTGAAATTGTGTTCACTGAACAAAATGCAAATATCAGAAAGTTAGACAACAGGTAGGCAGCTAACAGAAGTTGAGTGGTAGGGAAAGGAGAAGCATATATGGTGTTACTTTCCTCCTCCTTCATAGCAGGGAGTTAAAAGTCTAAAATTAAAATGTAATTTAAAGACGACTCCAGCTCAACGGGTGCTATAATCTCTTTTCTTAATTTAGAGGGATCTGTTAGGAAGGAGATCATATCCTATATAGGAAAGAAAATGGATTTGGAAGATGTCTTCCCACTTTACTTTAGCTTCTTTTTTCCTCTGTTAAATTCAAATAAAAGAGAATTTAGTACTTTTAAATATTAAAAATAGTGTGCATAATATGTTCCTATTTTTATCCTCTTATCTTTCTTTTATTTTACTATTTCTCGTTTATCAATCTTTACATGGAATAATGGCTGGGATGGTGTTTACCAAATATTGATGACCATTGCTTCTGAGTAGTGGAATTTGGATCATTTTTTTCCTCACTGGCTCTTTTGTACTTTTTTTTTTTTTTTTTTGCTTTGCTGCAGTATTTTCACAAAGATGATATGTTAACTTTATTAAGTGAATAAGGTCAATATTCCAAACAAGAAAATGAAGCTCTAATAATGGAAGAAAAGGCAAAGCTAATTTTATGTTATCATCTTTCTAAAAGGGAGTTGCCTATCTGGCCTCCCATTACCTGAACTCGGATCCTAATCGTGGCTGTAGATTGGTTTTACCGAGCCCCAGCATCTTTCCCCCAAGGATATCTGAAGTGCTTTATAATCTGGGTCAAGTCTAAAGGAAATGGAGCCATACACAGGAATGAGGGGCCAGTGCACACCCATGCAGGTTAATAATGAAAGATGCATTTACTGAATGATGGTGAGATGACCATAGAGACACTTGTACCCCTTTCCCTGGTAATTGTCAAAAACGGAGGCAGATATGATTAAAATAAATGCATCCGTTGTGACTCATTTAGATACTAATTTGTTGTCATCTGAGGATTCACTTCCCACCATATCTCATAATAATAATGTGCAATTTAAGTTTAGTATTGTAGAATATTGTCTATTTGCACTCAGTGAATACCTTCACATGCACGATCTCAATAGCAATCTGTGGGAGAGGCAGTGTCACACCTCTTTTACAGATGAAGACACAGAGGTTCAAATGACTTACAAAGGAGTTTAACCTTCAAGCCAGAAACCCGAACCAAGGTCCTGATTTGTAGATGAATGTAGGGAACCAGGATGCTAGGAATGGACTTTAGAATTTACTTCCTAAGTTAGCGGTTTGTCACTTAATGAAGCCCTGACACATTGGAGGATATGTCATAGCCTCTCTCTCCATCCATGCCCATTTGGATGGGGTTTACTTTATTCTACTAATCTAAGATTGTACATGTGACCTGGACATGGGTTCACAGTGCATTCCACTGCCCTGGGCACCATGATTGTTGGTTCAGGGATGTGGGATGACTCTAGGTGGTTCATGAGAGTGAACGCTGGGGGCTATTTCTGGTGTGACTGTCTTCTGTGAGCATAACAGCAGCAAGGATGATGGAAGCCTCCACCTGCTAAGGACCACTACAGGAGTCCCAAGAAAAAGCCAACACAGAGGAAAAAGAGAGGAGAACTGGAGATAGACTAGGTTTCTTTTTTTCTTTTTTTTTTAGACGAGGTTTCCATTGTGTTGCTGAAGTTCCTGGATCCAGGGATTCCTGAATCTGTTCACTGTGGACTTTGACGACACAGGAGACAATGAGTCCTCTTTTTGCTTCATTGAGTTGGCTTTTGGATAGCTGAGGGAGAGTGGCCCTTATGCATTTGGAAACACCACACGAGGCAGAACAGGAGTGTTAAGTACATCTGTTGAGGCCCAGTGTAGACTCCTTCCATCAGACTCTCTGGGATGCCTTGTAATAAACTCACACAGCATTTCAGTCCCCTCTGGATGCGACTTTGCTTGTGGAAGGGGAAGACATGCTCATTTGAACCCCATGTGTCAG